GGACAGGGAACGTGTCCTGCCACTGCTTATTTGTGCGTACCATTATAGAGCCTTGGATGCCCTAGTAAATACAGGTCGGTCTTTCTTCCACCCTACATCTGCTTAGCAATGCCTCAAGACGTCCTTATTAGGAACATTTCAAACCCTTTATAAGTCTCACTAAGGTCTTTTGCATGATATTCAAGTGAATGTTGGATCTCAGACTAACCATAGTGAATAATACACATTTCTGTGAGTGCTGACTTGGCTGCAATATTGTCTTCTCGTGATTTATTTAATGTCTGGGTGTATATGTTAAAATCAAAAATGTTAAAACAATAGAAATCAAATTTCATTAAGATCTTTAAGTTTGGTTAATTTTCACAAAGAAAAAACAATCTGCTAGTCTCTTTCCCTGGCGGCCCTGCACGGAAGGTGGTAGGACATGGCTGATAAGACAACTCATCGGCGGCGCATGGGGTGGCTCACGCCCTGTAATCCCCAGCACTCTAGGAAGGCTGAGGCAGGGGACTGGCTTGAGCGCAGAGTTTGAGACCACCTGTGCAGCACAGGGAGACCCCTGGTCTCTACGAAAAATTAAAAATTCGTTAGGGCACAGTGTTGTGTGCCTGTACTCCTAGCTACTCAGGAGACTGAGGATGGGAGGATTGCTTGAGCCTGGAAAGTGTTGGGTGCTGCAGTGAACACGATTGTGCCATTGTACCCAGCTTAGGCGCAGAGTCGAGACACCATCGTCTTAAGAACACACAGCATAACAGTAACATCTTTTGGGAAAACACGGTGCCTTGGACGTTAAATTAGAGGCAAGGGTTGTTCGTCTCATGAGATCAGTTTCTGAGGTCTCCTTTCCATTTTCCCATTTACTCTTCAAGATTATTCTTCAACACATTGACTTTGGCCTGTAGGACAATGTACAAGACCCGAATTCAGATCTCACAAGTATCTCTTCTTCCGCAATGTCTAAACAGGACTACGAAAAGTGAGAACAGGATTTGGGATTTCTGCATTGCCGTTAGCATGTGGGATCCCACAATAATGGGAAAGCTGGACCCACCACTTGCCAGGGTTCTCTGAGCAATCTCTTCTTCCCAAGGTCCTCACTTCCCCAAAGGATCCGATACTAAATTCATTGAGAAGATTGAGACTTTCTAGATTGAGGGAGGGGTGAGACCCTCAGAAAATCAATCCCCCCCAAAACAGTATTATATAACCAAAAATACATAAAAGGAATCACACATGTCCAAGTATCCTGTAGGTCACCCCTTATTTTGCCTATTGTGTCGCTGCTGTGGTCTTAAGCTGAATTGCTCTCATCTATTTTTCTTACTTTACCACCAGGATCATACGGCAGGGACAGAGAGTGTTTCTGAAAGCATCCCTCCGCTTGGGTTTAAGTGATCCCACATCTGAGACATATTAATAAGAAAACAGAGGGTGCGCCAGTATATAGGAGGCAGAGTGTCGGCGGCAGAGGCCAGTACTTGAAGAAGTATTTCCCAGAATATGTGGGTAGTTTTGGTTTTTTTGTTTGTTTGTTTCCCAAAGACACACTGCAGTCATTTAACCCCCACAAAGGAAGTCTGCTGACTTCAGTGAGCAGCATCATGGATCGTGTCCTTACAGGAAATGTGAGCAAGTCAGGCAGCACCCTGTAGTCCCCAGGCTACTTGGGAGGCGCGAGGCAGGAGGGAGCGCTTGAGCCAGGGGAGTGTTGATACACATCCTGACAACAGAAAGACTTCGTGAACACAACAAACCCAAAGACGGTGAAGACAGCTTAACTTGGGAATGGTGTGGCGATACGAGCAGCTAGGAGTCAGTTCAGTTGTGTGAAGAGCGCTTTAGAGAGGAAGATCTATATGACCTGAAAGGGCCACACACAGGCACGTGGACTTGTTTGGGTCATTTTGTCTCCATAAGACATATTTAAGGACTTATTAGTTTGTCTTGTCTCTGCTCGCTGTGCTTCTATGTTGGAGTCCAAAGGACAGGAAAAAGGAAAGACTGGGTAGGCAATAAGAAGCAACATATCTTCAATTTGAAGAATTCTTATCAAGTATATACTTTTTTTTTTTTTTGAGACAGAGTCTTGGTTTGTCACCCAGGCTGGAGTGCAATGGTACAATCTTGGCTCACTGCACCCTCCACTTCCTGGGTTCAGGCGATTCTCCTGCCTCAGCCTCTCGAGTGGCTGGAATTACAGGCGCCTGCCACCATGCCCGGCTAATTTTTGTATTTTTTGTAGAGAGAGGGTTTCACCATATTGGCTAGGCTGGTCTTGAACTCCTGGCCTCAAGTGATCCACCAGCCTCAGCCTCCAAAAGTGCTGAGATTACAGGTGTGAGCCTCCGCGCCTGGCCAGTATATACTTTTTTCTTTTCATGTTAATCTCCAGGTACAGCATCAAGAAGTCAGAGCAGGCAAAAATGGAATATATGTTCTTTTAGAATATATTCTTTTAAATATATTCCTCACTGTAAAGAAATCTTATGTTCCCTGGTGTTTCCTCGCTTTATCTCTCAGTCTCAAACGAGTTACAGGAAGCTGGAGCAGAGACAAATTCCACATTCTTTAAAATGTAATGAAAAAATGATTTCCAGTCAACTAAATTATCATATAAATAACTAAATTTGGTGAATTGGTCATTTTCAACAAACTCATTCAGATTTGACCCTTTGGGTCAAAGATGGAGTGATTTTCTTTAGAGCCAAAGACCTGAACCCTACAAGAGAAATATTTATTGGTTTCCACCTTGGATGTTAACACGGGGCTCTCTAGAAACCACCTGGGCTGAAGCCTCTGTGGCAGGATGATGGCAGATCCTCTGGTTAGGGTCAGAAAAATCATACATGGTGCTACCCCAGGGTCCAGTTCTGGGTTTTCATCTTCATGGAGATCACGAATCAGCTTCAGAAACAATAACATTCCCTATCATTATACTATATCTGATTCTTGACAAATATTTGAGAAATGACTTGCAGACAAATTTCTATTGGGTGATAACCAGAGAATGGCTTCATGGATATGGGGACCAAGATATGGAGGTTTTGTACCTCAAGGATATGAGGATACTAAAATATGAGACTGATTTATTATATAGCACAGCTTACTGGTCCAAAATGAATCACTAAAATTTGCTTCGAAATTTAAAAGCTAAAACGGAGTAGCCTTCCTTCTTTGTTTTATCCCAGAATTTTGAGCTTATTGAAGAACATAGCTTAGATGTTGCTATGCAATCGTATAGACCAAAGCCTAAGCATGTAGACTGCCTATACACCAAAAGGGGTGCATGTGTATATAGCAGAATTAACAAAGAATGAAGTCAAGAAACTGAAAATATTTCTATACTAGGTGGAAATGCCAGATAAGGAGCAAAGATCAGTTATTTCCCGTATGGCTGCAAAATCAACTCCTAAAGAAGGACCCAATGGAAACAAAAGCCACAATGAAAAGAAGCAATGATCCCAGCTTTTAGATACAGATAAATACATGAAAATTCTAGCAAGAGTACATATTCAGATTCCAAAACATTTAGTGATGATAACAATGTCTAGTTTTATTCACCCCTAGACCACAGCAAATTCTTCATGGAGGCACATCACATGGATCGCTGCATAATTCAAGAGCCAATATTAAGAAAACAAAGTATTATATGAAGTAATATGTGAGCTGATGAGGGGTTTGGCACTTTAGTTGAGTGACAGAGTAAAGCCATAGATTTATGTTCTGGAATAACTAACATAAACTTGGTCAAGGACCAAACATAAGGGAATGCAGCTAAGCAGGACTAATTTCATTTACTCATGCGAGCAACATTAATTGAGCTCCAACTATACGCTCAACACTGTACCAGGCATGGTAGGAGATACCAAAAGACTGTTTCAATGAATAACGTACATTCCAATTAGGAAAATATGCCTCATCCACACGTGAAAACACAAATAACAACAGGAGGCAATACATTGTGGCCAAGTGACAACGAAATTAGTTATGATTTATTAAGTATTTTTCTACTAGCCAGGCTTGTGCTAAATGCTTTATATTCATCCTCTTGATCTTAAGTCATCCTGTGAGGTAGGTGCTATGATTATCCCCATTTTACAGATGAGAACACTGAAGTTCAAACATGTAAAACGGGATGCAAAAGGTCACACCACTTGTAAATGGCAGAACTGACATTTGAACTCATATTGAACTGACTCTAAGTCTTAAGCTCTTACTAAACAAATGGCTATAGAAATTCAGAAAATGGGGAAGGCTAATAGACGAGCTGAGCTGGCCGTTAAGGGAAAGATAGGCTTCAGTTAGTCAAGGAGGAGGAGGAAGAGCCGAAGGGGTCAAGCATAGAGTAAATGCATGGAGACTGGCAAAGAGCTTGCGGAAACAATGATTACATTAGTCTAGCTGTCCAGTGAATTCCTATGTGGGACAGATATTGGTGGACAATGAATACCAGGTCGAAGATTGTGAACTGTGGGTTATCAGCAGCCACGAAACATTATAACGAATGCCAAGTTTCAAGCTGTAGACCTGTGGGAGATGAACTGCGAACCTGCCCGGGGAAGCGGCGCCCAGGTGGCTAGGGGCGGGGTCACAGGCGCCAGAGGTGTCACTGGGGCACCTCTCCGGGCCTTCCCCCTTTTTCTTCCGGGCTGGGTCCCGCTACTCCAGTTCCGCTAGGCGGCGGAGACGGGGCCAGGGGCAGGACTACAATCTTGACCCTCAGAGGGGTGCCCAGGCGGCCGCGGTGGGCGGCCCTCTTTCTCCGGCCTCGGGTGGGATTGGCACCCGTCTCGGGGGGCTCCTCACTACCACGCAGGGAAGCCAACTCGTTCCCCGCCCGGAGCCGGGTTCCCCTAGACTCCCGCGGGCCGCCTCCTTTTTCGTCCCCCAACGAGGCCGCGACTCTGAGGGTTCCGCTCTGCGGCGGAGGCGGGGCCGGGGGTGTGGGCGGGGCCGTGGGGGTCGTTCCAGGGCGCGGGGCGGGGCCACCTCCTTACCTGTGCCCCCCAGGGCTCCAAAGGTTCCACTCTGCGGCGGGGGCAGGGGCGGGTCCGGAGGGCGGGTTCAAGGCGCCCAGGTGGCCGCGACGGAAGGGCTTGTTTCTCTGGCCTAGGCTGTGGTTGGCAGCCGGCCGGGGAGAGAAGGGAGTCAGGGAGGCAACCTGGTTCCCGCCCGTTGCTGATTTCGCAGCTGCTCTCCCGGGCCGCCCCCTTTTCCTTCCCCCTCAGGCCACTACTTGGAGGGTTCCGCTCCGCGGCGGGGGCGGAGCCAGGGGCGGGGCTGAGCGCGGCCTGGGCGGGCTACCAGGCGGCTGGGGTGGGCGGGCGTCTTCTTCCCGCCCGAGGGACCTCCTCGCGACCGCCGGGACGTAACAGAGGCTCGGCAGGGGCGTCCTCGCCCCACGCCCGAACCCGGTTTCCCGCTGCTCCCGCGAGCGTCGGGAGCCCAGCAGGCCTGGCCGAGGCGGGACCTTCATCGCTCCAGCCCCCGTCCCCGCCCCCGCGCCTCCCCACCGCGCGAAGCTCTGGTTGGCTTGCTTTCCGACCGGACTTAGGGGCTAGCGTTTAGAAAAGTCTCGACCTCCTCCGGCCCGGTCCCATCCCGAGAACTGTCTAAGGCTGTGAGTGTCCGGGAACCAGACCCGCTTGGAGGCCTCAGCCCCGACGTCCCGCGCCCACGCGGGAGATCGGGCACTACGGCCCGGGAGCGTCTGGGAGATGCGGAGCAGGAGCAATTCCGGGGTCCGCTTGGACGGGTACGCGCGGCTGGTGCAGCAAACCATCCTGTGTTACCAGGTAAGGAGGGACTGCCCCACAGGGAACGCGTGGAACTGCCCTCTCGTGTCACTCATTCTCCTCCCCAGGCCTCTGGCCCTCTTGTGACCTGAGACCTTGCAATTAAGAGTTTGCTACTTGAATCTAGTCCTTGCTAGCCAGTGATTACCACCCCATTACCACGCCGTTCTCCTTAAGATTCAGGGGACCTAACTGTTGCTACGGCTACTTTTCACAGAATTCTTTGGCCATTGTTCAGGATGAGAATGAGCCTCCTCCGTGACCGGGGTCCAAACTGCCTGTTTTTGCATTGACTGTGCTTTTTTTGGACGAGAAAATAAGTGTGTGTGTGGGGGGGGTGCGGTTGGACAGACTACACTGAATGAGAACAGTAGACAGGAGTGAAGAAGCTCCTGAAGTTTACGCAGGGCTCTGCAGTGTGGGGAGACAGCTACTGTCCCTCCCATGAGCTGCCTTGGTAGAGACCCACCTGGAAGGCCCTTTGGGGCTACTTTGGTTGCTATTTTACAGGTGAGAAAATTGTGAGGCCAGAAAGGTCACTGCATGTAGCAGGTCAGACCCAAAGGCTCCCAAACTCACAGGATCCTATGACACTGCCCATGTGGTCCGAGGTATGAATATGCCTGCTATGCTTTGTATTCCTGGGCCAAAATTATATGTGGGTCCATCAGTGTAAGACCACTGAACTATTTTTATTCCTAGTGAAGACAGCAGCTATGTTTCTTGCCCTCAATCAACAGCAACTATTTATACGGCCTTCAAAGTCAACGAAGGCAGTGGCATTCAGGGGTTAGAGGCCTGACCTGCAAGTTGGGAGCCATGGTCATTTCCAAGGCACTGACCGTTTTCCCTTCTTTTTTTTTGTATTTTTTTTTTTTTAGTAGAGACGGGGTTTCACTGTGTCAGCCAGGATGGTCTCGATCTCCTGACCTCGTGATCCGCCTGTCTCGGCCTCCCAAAGTGCTGGGATTACAGGCTTGAGCCACCGCGCCCGGCCAAAACCGTTTTCCCTTCTTAGTTAATTTCTTAGCCTTGTTTCCTCAAGAAATATTTGTGGTATATCTGTTATACGCAAGGCACTGTACAAAGTGCTGGGGTTACAAAGAATAAATGATCGTAGTGCAGTAACGTTTATGCATAGGGTATAGGTCCAAAGTCCTTTATCTGTTTTCTTTGTTGTTGTTTGTTTGTTTGTTTTTGAGACAGGGTCTCACTCTGTCGCCCAGGCTGGAGTGCAGTGGTGCGATCTCGGCTCACTGCAACCTCTGCCTCTCGGGTTCAAGCAACTCTCCTGCCTCAGCCTCCCGAGTAGCTGGGACTACAGGCGTGCGCCACCACGCCCAGCTAATTTTTGCATTTTTAGTAGTGACGGGGTTTCACTGCGTTGGCCAGGCTGGTCTTGACCTCCTGACCTCAAGTCATCCTCTCACCACGGCCTCCCAAAAGTGCTGGGATTACAGGCATGAGCCACTGAACCTGGCCTCAGAGTCCATTATCTGAAACCCTTTGGACCAGTTGTAGTTTGCCCATCAGAAATGTTTGGCTTTTAGAAAGGTAATATGCGTACAACGTACTATATATGCCATAATAACTGCAGCCAGATCTGGGCAGCACCCCTTCATCAAACAGGTTATTACTTCCACATCAGAATATGAATATTCACATAATTTCAGTAAATGCTGAAAAGAGTTTCGCATTAGTTGGGCTCATCTTTTGCCACCAAAAGAGCTTGCTGCAAACTTACGAAAACACTTTAAATTTTCAGAGCTTGAGATTGCACATGAAGGATGATGGTCTTTATTTTGGGAACTTTGAGGAAGAACCCCTCACCCAGTTTGTGGGAGCAGGAGAGGAGTCCTGGAAGAGATGATGTTCAAGTTGAGAGTGGGAGAAGTAGTAGGCAGGCAAATGAAGGTCATTTTTCCCCTTCCTCCTTGGAGTATATTCTAATTACATCTATAAAGTGTTTTAAAATCCAAGTTGAAAAACCTTTCCCTTCATGACTGTGATGGAGGGGACTTTAAGGATTGCTGATGAAGCTTAGTTCTTTTGTCAGACCTGGGTTTGAATCCTCTGCTCTGCCTTGAATGACATGTGTGATCTTTCTTGATCCCTTCTGAGTCCATGCCCTCATCTGTAAAGTGAGGATAATAACACTTGCTTCCACTGAGTGTTTCTAAGGAAAAAATTAGTGCCTACTACCTTGTCTGGCACCTACTGGGCAGCAGTAAATAATGGGTGCTCTTGGTGGTGTCATGACTTTGATAGAGACCACATGTTTGTGCCCAGGCCTCAGGGTCCTTGCAGGAGTACTCTGGCTCATGGTGCGCCCTTTCCTGAAGGTCCTGCTACATCTCCTCATTCCTTGAGCATAAATATATCTCCCCATTGATGCCAAGAGAGCCTAAGTACAGAGATCTCATCAGTTTCCTTCCTTTGCATCAAGCAGTGGCCAAAGGCATGAAAGTTACCCTTAAGTCCTTGTTGGTAAAAGACTTACTGCAGGACCTGAGCCATCCTAATAACCCAGCTATCTGTCCAGGCTTGCCTTCCCTCAGAAGCGAAAGAATTGTCTTCTCATGAAAGCAAATCTGTGAGATTGGACTTTCCTCCCCAACATTTTAATGATTAAAAAAAAGTTGTGTGAGCCTTTAGTTGTATTTATTTTGGGGGTAGTTGGTGAGTAATCCTCATGTTTGCCCTCTTTTTCCCTTCCTGTGTCGTCAAGCTCTTCTGACTAACCAGGATACTCCCAGCACAGTTCTGCCGGGTAAATGTCATGCATCCACAAGTGCAGAATTGCACCCATTCACCCCCACAACTAGTGTGCGCAGTTGTAGAGCCCTAACCCATTCAAGGCCTCACCACCTTCTCTGAGTAATCTTAGGCAGGTCCCCTAACTACTCTGGAAAAATGAATGAGCACTTTTATGTTATGCATATTTTACCACAATTTAAAGAAAATGAATGAGCTGCACGAATGGTTTCTAAAGTTTATGCTGTATCTCCCCACCTTCTGTAGATATGTGCAGAAGTTTAGGAGGCGTTTTTTTAGTGTCAGCTGGTAACAACTCTGAACTCTGTTTCTGATTTGCTTTTTAAATTGAGATCAATTTACATTGGTTTCATTTGTTAGAAATCATTTTGTGTTAAATATGTCAAGCTAATCAGCTAATCATCATTTGAAGGTGTGGCCTGCCCCGCCACACCTGTGGATATTTCTCGTCAGGTGGGATGAGAGACGGAGAAAAGAAATAAGACACAGAGGCAAAGTATAGAGAAAGAATAGTGGGCCCAGGAGGCCGGCACTCAGCATACGGAGGACCTGCACCGGCACTGGTCTCTGAGTTCCCTCAGTATTTATTAATTACTAGTTTCAGTATCTCAGCAAGGGGAATGCAGCAGGAGAACAGGGTGATAGTGGGGAGAAGGTCAGCAGGAAAACATGTGAGCAAAGGAATCTGTGTCACAAATAAGTTCAGGTGAAGGTACTATGCCTGGGTGTGCACGTAGGCTAGATTTATGCTTTTCTCCGCCCAAACATCTCAGTGGAGTAAAGAGTAACAGAGCAGCATTGCTGCCAGCATTATCTCGCCTCCGGCCACAGGGCGGTTTTTCTCCTATCTCAGAATAGAACAAATGTACAATCAGGTTTTATACCGAGGCATTCAGTTCCCAGGGGCAGACAGGAGACAGTGGCCTTCCTCTATCTCAACTGCAAGAGACCTTCGTCTTTTACTAATCCTCCTCAGCACAGACCCTTCACGGGTGTCGGGCTGGGGGATGGTCAGGTCTTGCCCGTCCCACGAGGCCATATCTCAGGCTGTCTCAGTGAGGAGAAATCTTGGACAATACCCGGCTTTCCAGGGCAGGGGTCACTGCGACTTTCCACAGTGCATTGTGCCCCTGGTTTATTGAGACTGGAGAGTGGCAATGACTTTTACCAAGCATACTGGCCTGTAAACATTTTGTTAACAAGGCACATCCTGCACAGCCCTAGATCCCTTAAACCTTGATTCCATACAACACATGTTTTTGTGAGCACAAGGCTGGGGCTGAAGTTATGGATTAACAGCATCTCAAGGCAAAACAATTGTTCAGGGTACGAATCAAAATGGAGTTTCTTATGTCTTCCTTTTCTACATAGACACAGTAACAGTCTGATCTCTCTTTTCCCTACAATCATTCTTCCGTTAGAGGCAATAGTTGGCTCACATAATTTCAGTAAAGGCTGAAATTATTAAATTAATTAAATTATTAAATATTAAATAGGAATTATTAAATTAAA